AAAAAACCCCTCTTGGTTTGGATAATTACAGGCACCCCCCTCCTTTTAAAATATTTTTATGTAAAATTTATGTAATTGGGTTATTTACCAAACCAAATCGTATATTTAGTTCGGTAAACGGTATGAAATGTTGGCGTACCGAAATTTTAGTCCGTTTTTACTGAATTAACATCCCTAAATTTACCTATGGAGGGGTCTTTTCGTAAGATAAATACATAATTGAGGGGTGGCTGTAATTACCCTAACAGGATGGGGGTTTTCGTAATTTGACAATAGCTCAGGGGTGACCGTAATTTGCCCTTAAATAAAATTTCTAATTGTAGTATTAGTACAATATTTTCTTGGTATATTCCAGTTATTATTGGGGAGCAGAGTGGTGGTGGTGGTGGTGGTGGTGGTGGTAGCCTCGGTGGTTGGAGAGAATAAATGCTGCTTTACTGTGCTGAAACGGACAATACAGTAAAAAGAAAATTAGCAAACAGACAAAATGGTTTTTCCTCTTGTTTCTTAATGCTCATACATATTTTATTAGCAGCATCATCTTTCATCAAATAAAAAACACATCTACTGCGTGTTCTGTGTGTGTGAGAGAGAGATAGCCATGGATTCAGACTTCTAGGACCACGTGGAACCAAACACCCTCCCAGTTCAGATTCACTCTCTCTCTCTCTCTCTCTCTCTCTCTCTATCTTTCCAGCGAAGCCAGCCAGTTTTTCCATTTCATCAATACCCATTCCTCACTCTCTCTCTCTCTCTCTCACACACACACACACATCTACTTCTTGAATTTTCGAACTTTCTTGAAAATACAAAACCAACGTTATAAATTTCAGGATTTTCTTACACTAACCCACAACAGAGATCTCTAATGAACCCATTTCAAGGCTGAACACTCCGGAATTGCCACCGCCGGAAAAAAAAAGACTGCATTTTTGAATGAAATACATTGTTGTCTTAGCAGCGGCGGAGGTGGCGGCGGCGGCGGCGACGGAGATCAAGAACTGGATCCGGCAAGTATAATGCCGGGGCGGCTATGTTGGGAACATGAGAATACTAGGTACAATTTTCCTTTACGCATTCTGTCTGCTTCAATTCGCCACAATTCTTGTCTCCCCCATTACCACTGAACAAGAAATTCTACTTCAATTCAAGGGCAACATTTCAATTGACCCTTTCAATAGTTTAATTTCATGGAATCCCGAAAACACCCCTTGCCGAGATTATCTCGGCGTGTCCTGTAACTCCGTCGGAAACGTCGAAAAGATTGTTTTATGGAACACGGGTCTCGTCGGAGTTCTATCTTCGGCATTGTCCGGATTGAAATCTCTTAGGATCATCACATTGTTCGGTAATAGATTCAGTGGTAATATCCCTTTCGAGTACGGCGGAATCGATGCGTTGTGGAAGATAAACTTGAGCTCCAATGCACTTTCCGGGTCAATCCCGGAATTTCTCGGAGACTTGCCGAACATACGGTTTCTTGATTTATCGAGAAATGAGTATAATGGGAATATTCCTTCGGCATTGTTCAAGAATTGCTACAGGACGAGGTTTATTTCGTTGGCACACAACAATCTCTCGGGCCCGATCCCTGTCTCTGTCGGTAATTGTTCGAATCTCGAAGGGGTAGATTTGTCCTTCAATAATCTTAGTGGGGTTTTGCCTCTAGAAATTTGCAGCATTCCTAAGTTGACGTACTTATCCGTAAGGAGCAATGTGCTATCGGGAAATATTCGGGTTTCGCAATGTCGGAACTTGGATCTTTTGGATCTTGGTAGTAACATGTTTAACGGGCCCGCGCCGTTTGAGGCTCTTGGATTACCGAATCTCGCATACTTCAATATTTCGTGGAATGGTTTCGAAGGGGCAATTTCAGAATTTGGAACTTGCGCAGAGAGTTTCGAAGTGTTAGATGTATCGGGGAATGCTTTGTATGGGGAAATTCCGTCGAGCATAAACAAATGCAGCAGCCTTAAGTATCTCGATCTGGGTTTTAATCGATTTAATGGAAGCATACCCGTTGAAATATCCGATTTGAAAAATCTCGTAGTCATCCGATTGGCTAATAACTCGATAGAGGGAACAATCCCTTCCGAGTTTGGAAGTATAGAATGGCTCGAAGTGCTCGATTTACACAATCTCGAACTCGTCGGCCAAATCCCAAACGAAATCGCCCAATGCCAGTTTCTTCTCGAGCTGTGAGTACAAATGCTTTTTTTTTTTTTTTTATATATATATATATATAATTATTTTCTTGCATCGACATTTCGTAAAAAAAAAAAAAAAATCATTTGTTTGTACATACATGCAGGGATGTTTCTAGAAACTATTTGGAGGGAGAGATTCCGCAGAACCTCGATAACATGACTCACCTCGTGATTCTTGATTTGCATGACAATAAGCTCGACGGAAGTATACCTTTGACGATTGGAAATTTGTCCAACATGCGCGTCTTGGATTTTTCGGAGAATATTCTCTCCGGTTCGATTCCTTTCACACTCGGAAACTTAAACAATCTAACCCAATTCAACCTCTCTTACAACAACCTAATCGGTTCCGTCCCTTCATTTCAAACCATCCAAAAATTCGGACCCTCCGCTTTTTCCCACAATCCAGGTCTATGTGGGCCCCCATTGGATAACCCCTGCTTAGGTGGCGGCGGCGCTTCGACTCTAACTTCAAGAAAACCGAAGCTGAGTGTTTCCGCCATTATTGCAATAATCGCCGCTTGTCTGATTATTACAGGCGTTTGCGTCATTACAATAATCAACGCAAAGGCTCGTCGGAGAAGAAGACGAAATAGAACAGAAGAAGACGAAACCATGGTTTTAGAGAGCACACCGTTCGCTTCTTCGACAGAATCGAACGTGATTATCGGAAAATTAGTCCTGTTCAGCAAAACCCTACCCTCGAAATACGAGGATTGGGAGGCGGGGACAAAATCTCTGCTTGACAAGGAGTGTATAATAGGCGGCGGCTCGATCGGAACCGTCTACAAA